CCGCCCTAAAAATCCTAAAGACCCTGAAAACCCTAAAAACCCTGAATACCCTGAAAACCCTAAAAACCCTAAAAACCCCCAAAAACCCTGAACCCTAAACTCCACACTCAAGGGCTATCAGTAGTAGGAGAAAAGTACCGATCCTCACTCCAGCAAAGCTGGACACCTCAAACAGGGTTCGGGGGTTTCCCGCACCCGCAATATGCCCCAAATGGCGCCCAACCAAACAAAATATTAAAATGCAAATTGCAGACACCCACCCCCCCCCCTGGCCACTTAGGGTTCAGGGGCAGGGCTTGTCTAGTTTTGAGGTTGAGGTCTTCAAGTGTATATAAAGGGCGCATAGGGCTTTTAGGGTTTGTGGGTTTATGGGGCTTACAGTATATGTTTTATAATGCTTTGGGGCTTCTAGGGTTTATAGGACTCAGGGTTGAACAGTGCCTCAGAACCCAAACCCTACGCACCACACCCAAAACTACCCCTTGGCCCCCTCCAGCCTCATCCGGCCTTCCGGCCAGGAAGGCGCTGAAGGCTTGCTGGTCGTGGGTATACACCTGAATCCCCAAATCCTACACCCTAAAGCCCCCCCCAAAAAAAAAAAAAAAAAACCTCAAGCATTTACTATCATCATTCTGATTACCATCTTGAGCGTTTGCCATTCATGCTAATCCTTCTGATGAAATACTGCTATGGAAAATTCCGTGGTGGAAGTAGGGATGCCACGAAGCTAAAGCTGCGGCGGCTTGTGGCCAGCGTAGCCAAGTCGTTACAAGCCGTCACAACATTGGATCTCCTTGCTGGTTCTTCGTCGGGATTGAGGAAATGAGGTACCCTGTATGATCCCTGAAATAGATATATACATATAAATATATATATATCTATCTATCTAGAATCTATACATATATATATATATGGGCATGTAAGGTACCCAACTCCCTCATTCCCTGCGAAGAACCAGGGGATCTCTGTGGGTGGGGCGTGCTCGTACATCCAGGACAGAAGCAGCAGCAGCCACTCAGCGACCTCCTGGTTTCATAGAGGGGTCGGAATGCTGGGGTTTAGGGTTTAGGGTTTAGGGTCTAGGGTCTAGGGTCTAGGGTCTAGGGTTTAGGGTTTAGGGTTTACTAATATTCCCTTATGGTCCCTTTATACTATAACAACACCCCAAACCCTACTCTAATTATTAAGGCCCCTTTTTTTAGGGTTGCGAGAGCATGGGCTGTCTGCTGGCAGGGTTGAACTCACGCCTGCTGACAATCAGAATTACACAGGTGGCTGGGATTGCCGGGCTGGCACGACGTGGGCAACATGTTGCAATAAGGCTGACCTAAGCGCAGAACAACAACGATGATGTCAAAAAATGTCAACAAATACAAGCCGCAGCGAAACATGCCGTGCCTGCGTAGCCTTGAAGAACCTCGTTTCCACGTCGACACAGGCACATGCCAGCGATAATGACGAAGTGAAGCTGGATGCTATCGCACTGCTTCGCCACACTCGCATGACTGACATGTGGCAGAAACCCCCCAAGCCCCAAACCCTAAACCGCATCACCCTTAGCCAGCCCCCTTTTTGACCCTGCAACAGCCCTAAACCCCAAACCCCAAACCCCAAACCCCAAACCCTAAACCCTAAACCCTAAACCCCGCCCATCAGATGTGCTTGCCGCGCCACACGAGCCCGCTGCAGATGCAGTCGTCTGCAAAGGAACCACTGACGAGCAGGCCAGCAGCCCTGGAGCAGGAGCTGGTTCAGCTCAGGGTTGAGGGTTGAGGGTTGAGGGTTGAGGGTTGAGGGTTGAGGGTTGAGGGTTGAGGGTTGAGGGTTGAGGGTTGAGGGTTGAGGGTTGAGGGTTTAGGGTTTAGGGTTTAGGGTTTAGGTTAGTTTTAGGGTTTAGGGTTTAGGGTTTAGGGTTGAGGGTTTTAGGGTTAGGGGTTAGGGTTGAGGGTGGGGTTTAGGGTTTAGGGTTTAGGGTTTAGGGTTTAGGGTTTAGGGTTTAGGGTTTAGGGTTTAGGGTTTAGGGTTTAGGGTTTAGGGTTTAGGGTTTAGGGTTTAGGGTTTAGGGTTTAGGGTTTAGGGTTTAGGTTTAGGGTTTAAGGCTTAGGGTTTAGGGTTGAAGGTTTAGGGTTTAGGGCTTAGGGTTTGAGATTGAGGTTTTTTGGTCTTAGGGTTTAGGGGTTGAGGGCTTGGGGTTTAGGGCCTTGGGGTTTGGCCTTGGTGTTTAGGGCTTTGGGTGTTGGATGTTGGGTTTCGGTTAATGGGCTTTAGGGTTTTGGGGTTTTGGGGCTTTGGCGTTTGGGCCTTGACTGCATATTGGCTGCCCCCAAGCACTTGCAGGTGATTCAAGCAGGCCAGCAAGACACACACACACACACACACACACACACACACACACACACACACACACACACACACACACACACACACACACACACACACACACACACACACACACACACACACACACACACACACACACACACACACACACACACACACACACACACACACACACACACACACACGCGTACAGGAAGCTACCCCAGAATGCACATTTGTCCGCACAGGCATTGGGTGCCGACACCTCGTCGAAGAATAATTGGACAAGGACCCAGACACAGAAAGTGTCGAAGGTCCGATCTTCATAGCATTGCTCAGACCAACCAAAAATTGTTTTCTTGAGAGGGCTTTCACGTGATCCCAGGCTTCAGGTGATCCACAGCCCGATACTTGCTGGCGTGCAAGCCTAAAAACAACAGAGGATAGCAACAGATGCACTTGATTCAGAGTGTAGCGGTTGCTGCCATGGGCCGTCCTGGTTCAGCACCTTCCTGACTCTTACACACATGCCATTGCTTGCTTGGGGACCTGGCTGCATCTAAAGTATCGACTGTCTGAATGTCACCCTAAACCCTAAACCCTAAACCACTTAAGAACTCAAAGATCCGGTGTGAAGGACCGCAGCAGTCTCTGCATCTCTTCAGACCAACGCAGGACGATCCTCTGCGTTGTTGCGTGTGCTTGATAAAGAGGCATAGCTTCAGGCGCATGCCAGCGCTCGGTCTTTTGGCCGAGCAGCCTTTAGAACCTGAGGGTTCTCGAACCCCCGCCACGATGCTGCTGTGTGCAGCTTCGTGCCTATGCGAACTCGCTGTCGAGCAACGCACGGAACAAAAATCAATGCAATAAAAAGAGCTGCTAGAACGCAGCTCACAGTTCGACGGCGCTGTGGTGTAACCAACAGTTGCAGCTTGCACGTCCCTGGCAGATACTGCATAACTGACATAGCTGTCGCACGAGTCACTACAAATTGATGCTGATGCCTAGCTCAGAATGCAATTCAAGGACGAGAAACATACAGAGCGCCACGCAACCAACGCAAACCAGCAGACAAAACAAAAGGCAGAACAATGATGGAGAAGAAAACAGAGGCATCCTAAATGCGAAGTACTGATAAGGCCTTTGAAGGTGAAGCCGCAAACAGCGCCCCAAAAACTGCAAATCTCTAAACCCTAAACCCTAAACGGAACTTGCCGCGAGCGAAAGATCGGGAATCGGGACTACGCCCCTAAACCCTAAACCCTAAACCCTAAACCCTAAACCCTAAACCCTAAACCCTAAACCCTAAACCCTAAACCCCAAACCCTGAACCCTAAACCCCTAAACCCTAAAACCCTAAGCCTGGACGAAGCAGAGAAAAGGATGCTCCAAGCTGCCGCGTCATGAAAGCCCGAGAGAGCCCGAGATCGTACATCAGAATGGGGATGTCCCCTTAATCTGTACGACGAGGAATCTTTTGTTCTCACGAATTCCCTTATAATGTTCAACATATCATATGGCAGATTCCCTGAACTATGGCATCTTATGGCACATTCCCTTAGATAAGGTATCTCATGGCATAGTCTCTTAACCTAAGGTATCTTCTGGCAGATTCCCTTAACTAAGATATGTCATGGCAGATTCCCAAAACTAAGGCATCTTATGGCATGTTCCCTTAACCTCAGGTGTCTTATGGCACATTCCTTGAACTAAGGTATCTTGTGGCATACTCCCTAAACCAAAGGCGTGCTGGGCTCTCTTGGGTTTCTGGGAAAAATGCTCCTCCTCCTGTTCTGGGGGGCAAAGTCTGTTGGACTTCTGGCCCCGAGAGAGCAGAGGTGAAGGCGGCCTGCGCCTTCGTGGATGGACCCCGTTTAGGGTTTCGGGTTTAGGGTTTAGGGTTTAGGGTTGAGGGTTTAGGGTTTAGGGTTTAGGGTTTAGGGTTTAGGGGGTTTAGGGTTTAGGGTTTAGGGTTTAGGGTTTAGGGTTTAGGGTTTAGGGTTTAGGGTTTAGGGTTTAGGGTTTAGGGTTTAGGGTTTAGGGGTCCATCATCGGCCTCACCCAGCGATACCCAGCGCCCAATGGGCTTCACGGGAAACTGCGTCGGGTGGCGTCGTGGCGCTGGGCAAAGCCCAGGTTCCAAGGCCTGGCTTGGGGTTTAGGATTTAGGATTTAGGGTTTAGGGTTTAGGGTTTAGGGTTTAGGGTGTAGGGTTTTAGGTTTAGGGTTTAGGGTTTAGGGTTTAGGGTTTAGGGTTTAGGGTTTAGGGTTTAGGGTTTAGGGTGTAGGGTGTAGGGTGTAGGGTGTAGGGTTTAGGGTTTAGGGTTTAGGGTTAGGGTTTAGGGTTTAGGGTTTAGGGTTTAGGGTTTAGGGTTTAGGGTTTAGGGTTTAGGGTTTAGGGTTTAGGGTTTAGGGTTTAGGGTTTAGGGTTTAGGGTTTAGGGTTTAGGTTAGGGTTTAGGGTTTAGGGTTTAGGGTTTAGGGTTTAGGGTTTAGGGTTTAGGGTTTAGGGTTTAGGGTTTAGGGTTTAGGGTTTAGGGTTTAGGGTTTAGGGTTTAGGGTTTAGGGTTTAGGGTTTAGGGTTTAGGGTTTTGGTGAAGGAGCCTACCTGGGGTTCTTGGGTCCACCCAATACCAAACCCACCCCTACCATTCTAATATTTCGCCCTCTGCGCAGCGAGCCTCATGCAGTGGTGCACAGGAACCGCGTCAGTGCTTGCAAGGTCTGTGGCTCGTCCAACCTAGCATGTCAGCAGTTTCCGAGTTTTGGGTGACTGTTAGGGTTCTAAGGCCAGAGGGCTTAGGTTTTCCTAATTTGGGGTCGCTGTTAAAGTTTTAAAGGGCAGTTTAGGGTTTAGGATTCGATGGCTCAGCCCTGGAAATCCCGAAGCTTGCGCAGTCACAAACGAGGAAAAACGGCTCCCAGACCAGGCGTCAGCCGCGGACAGACACCAAGCGAGGCTGCAGGAGATTTGTTGCCCTCGGCTGCGAGGGGCTTAGCGTTGAATGTGTAGGGTTTTAAGCGTTTAGGGCTTAGGTAGGGTTCAGGGGCTAGTCATCACAGAGGTGGCGGAAACCTCCACCACACGTTGCTCAACCAAGCGCAACATCAGCCAACCAATTCGCCAGGCACTCAGCCAGTGGCACGAGCAGAAAAGACCCACAAAGATGTGAAAGAAGGACCGTTTCCCCCCCGGCAAGGCCCTCCTGACGGAAGAAACGCTAAACCCTAAACCCGAAACCCTAAACCCTAAACCCTAAAAACCCTAAACCCTAAACCCTAAACCCTTGGTGTACCCACCCGCCGTCTCAAGAAAGGCACAACTCCAGCTGCCGATCGTAGGTCCAGACGGAAGTCCCTCAACCCTAAACCCTAAACCCTAAACCCTCAACCCTCAACCCTAAACCCTAAACCCTAAACCCTAAACCCTACACCCACCCTCAACCCTGAACCCCAAACTTCAGGGTCCCCTGAACCCCTAAACCCTAAACCCGAAACCCTAAACCCTAAACCCCAAACAGCCTAGAGACCCTAGAAGTGCCTCCAAGCCTCAGAGACGCTGTCTGCAAAAATGCCGAATTCTTCACGGAGCCACAGCAGCGTTGGGCGGTCCTCGGATGGACTCAGGGGGAGAAAGGCTTAGGGAGTACGTCGCAAGTTTAGGGTCTAGGGCTTAGGGTTTGGGGTTTAGGGTTTAAGGCTTAGGGTTTAGGGTTGAAGGTTTAGGGTTTAGGGTTTAGGTTTAGGGTTTAAGGCTTAGGGTTTAGGGGTTGGGTTTTGGGTTTTGGGGTTGGGGTTTAGGGAGGCCTGACAGCTTCATAAATTCTAGTATGTCTCTGCGATCCGCTGTTTCGAGATCTCTGGGTATTTCAGGGATCAAACGAACCTCGCTGCCCGGCTGCCAACTTCTACCCCTAAACCCTAAACCCTAAACCCTAAACCCTAAACCCTCAACCCCAAACCCGAAACCCTCAACCCTCAACCCTAAACCCCTTACAAGACGGCCCTGTCTCCATGAAGCAGCTCAAACTTTACGAAGCCTAAAGCCCTGAACCCAGCTAAACGCAAAGCAACAGCAGCCCAGAATCCCATAACCCAAAACCCCAAACCCTAAACCCCTGAAACCCCAAACGCCTAAACCCCAAAACCCCAAACCCGAAATCCCTAAACCCAAAACCCTAAACCCTAAACCTTAAACCCTAAACCCTAACCCCTAACCCCCCCATCCCTTCGCTCCTCGAAGTTGACACGCCCGAGGCCTCAGCATGGCTTGCTACCGATCTCTTTAGGGTTTGGGGTTTAGGGTTTCGGGTTTGGGGTTTAGGGTTTGGGGTTTAGGGTTTGGGGTTTAGGGTTTGGGGTTTAGGGTTTGGGGTTCGGGCTTTAGGGTTTGGGGTTTGGGGTTTGGGGTTTAGGGTTTGGGGTTTGGGGTTTAGGGTTTGGGGTTTAGGGCTTGGGGTTTAGGGTTTAGGGTTTAGGGTTTGGGGTTTAGGGTTTGGGGTTTAGGGTTTGGGGATTGGGGTTTGGGGTTTAGGGTTTGGGGTTTAGGGTTTGGGGTTTAGGGTTTAGGGTTTGGGGTTAGGTTGGGTTTAGGGTTTGGGGTTTAGGGTTTGGGGGTTTGGGTTTGGGTTTGGGTTTGGGGTTTAGGGTTTGGGGTTTAGGGTTTGGGGTTTAGGGTTTGGGGTTTAGGGTTTGGGGTTTAGGGTTTGGGGTTTAGGGTTTGGGGTTTGGGGTTTAGTGTTTAGTGTTCAATGCATTTTGGGGCTTTCGGGCTTTTGTCAGTGTAGCGTTGGGGTTTTCAGGTGCGACATATGCATCTGCACCAATGCTGTTGCGGGGCATGGGCGTGGCTGTGAGATCTGGCCTGTGACCACTCCCATCCGACGCAACCGCAGACATCGCACCCCTAAACCCTAACCCCTAAACCCTAAACCCTAAACCCTAAACCCTACATCTTGCAATGGAGGTCGTTCGCTCCTGGACCTTGCCTTGGGATCTACACAGGTGAAAGAACGATGGTGTCCCTCTGCAGCCGCAGCGTCATCTCCAAAAGTAGTGTGACTTGGGAAGGATTTGTCGCGGCACACTCTTGGCTGATTTCAAGAAATCACAGGCGGGCATGAAGGAGGTGTGCCGCAACCCCTTCTAGACTTTGAATCCCTTAAACCGTCAAGATTTAAAACGATAATCTAAAAAAAACGAATCAAAAAAAAGTATATGTATATCCTTCAAACCCTGATCTCATACACTCTAAATCCAGATAGCTTGGCCTTTGAGATTGCAGGACACGAGCCGCGAAAACAGGGCAAGGCAGATGAGGCGGCAGGGCAAACTCGGTCTGAGGACCCCAAAACGGCCCAGGTACCCATGGAACCACAAGGGCCTACGAAGTATGTGTGTGTGTATATATATATATGTATGCATGTATACATGTGATGTGATTGTGTGTGTATGCGTGTATGTGTATATGTATGTATGCCTGTATGTATGTATGTATGTATGTATGTATGTATGTATGTATGTATGTGGGTCGTTATGTAGGTAAGTAGGTAAGTAGGTAAGTAGGTAAGTAGGTAAGTAGGTAAGTAGGTAAGTAGGTAAGTAGGTAAGTAGGTAAGTAGGTAAGTAGGTAAGTAGGTAAGTAGGTAAGTAGGTAAGTAGGTAAGTAGGTGAGTAGGTATCTCTATCCTGAATGTTATATGCATAGGTATTCGCCCACTCAATGTTGTCTCTTTCCTTCATCCGTTCGCTTGCGGCGATAATCCTGGGCCCCCAAATACTGCCTAAGAGCGTTGCTTTAGGGTTTAGGGTCCAGGTTTAGGGGGGCCAAACAAGGAAGAAACGTGAGGCCAACCAGCGCAGAGCGGCCCTTGTCCACATTGCCGCCTTCCAAGGCCCTGACCGGGTGGAAAGCAAGGCTAGGTAGATTTTTATCGGGGTTTCTAAGGGAGGGGGGTTCAAGGATGGTGAAACCCAGGGCTCCCGAATACTCCCTACTACTCCCAAAGGCTCCCTAAGCTTCCATAAGGTTCCTTAGCAAACGATGTGGATTGCTGAGGGGTTTACGTTGGGATGTTCCCCGTTATGCAGGCAGTCCTTAGTAGGGGTTGTAGTGGGGGTACTACAATCCCCATGAAGGACTGTGAGTCTAAGGTGGAACATCCCATGCTGCGCTTTGAGCTTACAGGCTATAGGCTTCAGGGTGCCCTGTTTTTGTGTGGGGGGGGGGGGGGTTTAGGGTTTAGGGTTTAGGGTTTAGGGTTTGGGGTTTAGGGTTAGGGTTTAGGGTTTAGGGTTTAGGGTTTAGTGTTTAGGGTTTAGGGTTTAGGGTTTAGGGTTTAGGGTTTAAGGTTTAGGGGCGGGGGGGGTTGGGGTAGTTCCACCATAACTTGGGTTTTCTTGAGGGATACCCCCCCGCTTTGGGAAATGCTCAGATGGATAGAAGCTGCTGGGCCTAAGGCTTAAAGCTCTTAAGTTTCATTAGCCACGAGTTGTGTGGGGTAGGGGATCCGCCCCGAAACCCGAAACCCGAAACCCTACAACGTACATCCTAAACCAACCCTACACCCCCAAAACCCGGACAAAATGTAAAAGAATCACAGAACCACCCGCAAAAACAGACCCGAAAAACCCAACCCCCCCCCCCCCCCCCAACTCGTGGCCTGAAGTTGTCCATGTCCCACGCTGCCACCGGCGCACTGAGCAGGCGGAAGAGAATTCCCAGGACCAGGGAGTTGCCTGGGCAACTGGGATCCCTCTCGGCCCTTCAAAGGGTACGCCCTGATATACCCCCTTTTAAACCCCTGTGCACCCTTGAAAGGGTATACCTCCTTCAAAACAGCTTATGAACCCTGTACACCCTTAAGGGAGGTACGGGACCATGTTACGGGCCCCTAAACCCGAGACCCTGCCGACCGACTGAAAACCCGAAGCTAGGGCTTGGGTTTAGGGTTTAGGGTTTCGGGTTTAGGGCTTAGGGTTTAGGGCTTAGGGTTTAGGGTTTAGGGTTTAGGGTTTAGGGTTTAGGGTTTAGGGTTCAGGGTTTAGGGTTCAGGGTTTAGGGTTTAGGGTTTAGGGTGTAGGGTTTAGGGTGTCGGGTTTAGGGTGTAGGGTGTAGGGTGTAGGGCGTAGGGTGTAGGGTGTAGGGTGTAGGGTGTCGGGTTTAGGGTTTAGGGTTTAAGGTTTCGGGTTCAGCATCGCAAGTTCAAGCATTCACTAGTCAAGCTCGCTACTCCGGTGTCGAGTACCGACCCACCCACCCTTTGGATCCCATAACATTGCAAAAATATTTTACTTATCGTTTTAACCCGAAGTGTTGGTGCTTGTCCACGAATCGTTAGTGCCGGTCCGCGTACCAGTAATAAGTAAACTAATGTTTCTTTTTGCCGATGTTGACGGAACATGAAGCATGAGCATCTTTTTCCTGAAAAATGCTTGCGTGCTTGGTGCTTGTGTTTGTTGGTGCTTGTCCGCGAAATGTTGGCGCTTGTCTGTGCTTGTCCACGAATTGTCAGTGCTTGGGGTCAGCTCCGGAACTGTCTTCGCCAACCTGGAACGCGGGCGGTTTCCGGTTTGGGCTCCAGATTCCGGTTACGGCCGAAAGGGGGGGGTCCGGTTTGGCCTCCGGTTGGAAAAGGGGGGGGTCCGGTCACGGCTCCAGGGGCGGGTCCGGTTTCAGCTCCAGTTCTGGCACGTGAGGTTTGGCGGAAGGGGGGGGGGGTTCCCGTCAGGGCTCCGGGGAGGGGCATCCGGTTCTGGTACGTGAGGCTTGGTGTCCGGTTGGAAAAGGGGGGGGGGGGGGGGCTGGGGGGGGGGTCCGGTTTCAGCTCCGGTTCTGGCACGTGAGCTTTGGCTAGGAGGGGGGGGGGGGGGTTTTGGGCTCCGGTCTTGGCATCCGGGGGTCCAGAAGGGGGGGGGGGTCTGGTTACGGCTCCATATTAGGGTTTAAATCTACATCGGAAAGAGAGCTTTAGGGTTTAAGGTTCAGGGTTTAGGGGGTCCGCCGACCTTGGCGGCGTGTTGGATGGGTTTGAGGAGGTACTAACAGTCCTTAATAGGGATTATAGTAGGGGGTACTATAATCCCTACTAAGGACTGTTAGAACAAGGAAATCCTGAACCCTGAACCCTAAACCCGACAGAGGCAACGCCTGTGGGGACTTGCTTGTTGCCTTCAATCGCAACGAGACTGATCTCACACAAGCGTCCCTAAACCCTAACACCCTGACCCCTAACTGCCTAAACCCAAAGCCCTGACACCAACCCTACAACCCTAAAACCCTAAAATCCGAAAACCCTAAAACCCTAAAACCCTAAAACCGTAACACCCTAACAGCCTAACACCCTAGCACCCTAACACCCTAGCTTCAACCCGAAACCCTTCAACACTAAACCCTAAACCCTAAGCCCCTAAACCCTAGACCCGATGTCGGCCAGGCATCTGCACAAACCGTCGCAAAGGAGGTTCTGCAGTTGGCTCAGGGCCTCTGTATTCAAGACCTGGGGCATGCTTGCAAGCTACCAGGGGTCTAGGGGGTTTAGGGTTTGGGGTTTAGGGTTTGGGGTTTGGGGTTTGGGGTGTGGGGTTTGGGGTTTAGGGTTTGGGGTTTAGGGTTTAGGGTTTAGGGTTTGGGGGCTTAGGGTCGAGGGCTGGGGGGTTGCAGAAGATGCGCGGAGTGGACTGAGACCCGGGCCGGACATGCTCGAGAGAAATTCCTCGGCCAAAGCAAGCGGGGTCACATATGGTGTAGGGTTTAGGGTTCACGGCTTAAGGTTTGCTGTGAAGGTGAGGATGCAGAAGAGGCTCGAAAGCTTCGTTAGGTGCGAAGAGCAGCTCTGGCTCGATTGTGGAGGGCCATCGAACTCCTTCTCCCACCCCACGCCGTCCAAGGCGGCAAAGCCACGCTAACCGATTCCATTTAGGGTTTAAGGGTTTAAGGGTTTAAGGGTTTAGGGTTTAGGGTTTTAGGGTTTAAACCTAAACTCGAGTCAATTGCCTACTTACAAAAGTTTTTCCGTCACCGATGCTCGCCAGGCCAGTACTGGTCCCGAAAAGAGCAGGCTCCGGTACCGGGCCCATCGTGCGTGCTACTGACCTTCTGGCTGTGGGAGGCGTGCGAGCGACCTGAGTCAACTTGCGAGGGGCTTTGGCACCGCCGGGGGCGGCCAAAGCCTTGAGCGTAGGGTTCCCTAATCCCCGACACCCAAAACCCAAACCCCAAATACCCCTAAAACCCAAAAGCCCCAAAACCCTAATATCTAAACCCGGAAACCCTAAAACCCTAATCCCGCCCGAAACCGTAAAGCCTAAACCCTACACCCTAATCCCTGAACCCTTGCAACTCCTATTCCCTAAACACCGCCCAACCCCCAATCCCAAAAACCCAAATCCTTAATCCTCTAAAGCCCTAAAACCCCGAAATCCCTTAACCCCAAAAAACCTGACCCATAAACCCTCAAATCCTAATCCCTTAACCCCAAAACCCTAATCCCTCAACCCGTAAATCCTCATACCCTGAAGCGATAAAACCCCGACAGCCCTAAGCCCTGAAACCCTGAACCGGAAATCCCTAATCCTGTAAACCTCTAAACACTAAAACCCAAAACCCGAAACCCCTAATCCCTTAACCCCTAAACCCTTGAACCCTAACCCCTAAAACCCTAAGCCCGAAATCCCTAAATACTCTACACTCTAAACCCTAATCCCTTAACCCCAAAGACTCTCAAGCAGAGCACTGGAAGCCTTGAAACGCAGAAGCCTTCTCCGAACCTGTACTCATCTGTTTAGGGTTTTGGGTTTTGGGTTCAGGGTTCAGGGTCCGGAGTTCACCCCTTGTACTAACAATCCTTAATAAAAGTTATCACACCCCCCATTATAATCACTATTGAAGACTGTTCGTATAAGGGGGAACATCCCAAGGTTTACGGCTTCAAAACCCTAAACCCTAAACCCTAAACCCTAAACCCTAAACCCTAAACCCTAAACCCTAAACCCTAAACCCTAAACCCTAAACCCTAACCCGGGTTGAGGGCTAATCTTCCAGGGTGCTTCTCTTCAATCCAGCGCTCGGAGCTTGAGCGAAACAGTGGCACCTCGCACTCCTCAAGCGCATCAGAGGGTTTAGGGTTTAGGGTTGAGGGTTTGGGGTTTAGGGTTTAGGGTTTAGGGTTTCGGGTTTAGGGTTTAGGGTTTAGGGCCTGTTTAGGGTTTAGGGCTTTCGGGTTTAGGGTTCAGGGTTTCGGGTTTAGGGTTTAGGGTTTGGGTAGAAACCCAACAACCCAAAAGAAAACACACAGAAAAAACAAGAAAACAGGAACGGGCAGCACTGGAGTGGGATCAGACCCCAGACAAAACTCTGGAACCCCGAAACTCTAAACTCTGATAACCCGAAACCCTACTCTCTAAAGCCCTAAACGCTGAAACCGTAAAACCCTGAAACCTGATCTGGGAGGTGACATGCAAGGCGCCAAGCTTTGGACGTGCAGCCCGGCCATTGCTTCCCCCAACACAGCGAAAGTATTAAGGTTGAGGGTCTTAAGCCTTGGGGTATGGGGTTTAGGGTTTAGGGTGTAGCATCGGTCAGCTGAACGCAATAGTGTGAAGACGTGCCCACCCCAAGACCACCCAAACACTACTCACTGCGAACCAAACCGGAGCCAGCCCAAACCAAGCCGAAGCCCTTCAGCCATTCAAAATTCACACGTGACACATGTTTAGGGATGCCGAAGCCATTACGGCATCAGGCTGTTGCGCAGGGGACGGACTGGGCCGACGAGCCAGGCTGCCCCCGCGCCCCCGGACGCCCCCCCAGACGCCCCGGCACGTCTCAGGACGCAGAGCTTTTCAGGGGCTCCCAGGGGTCAAGGGGTCTGGGAAGTTTTAAAGGCGAAGGATGGGAGTCGTGGGGTTTAAAGGTGTGCTTGGCAAGCGCTGCAGCCCAGCAGAGCCTGCCGTGGTCTCGCTGAGCGCTCGACTGCGCCTGCCTACCCAACAGAGGTGAAAGGGGTGGCGGGCGGGTTTAGGGGTTAGGGGTTAGGGGTTAGGGGTTAGGGGTTAGGGGTTAGGGGTTAGGGGTTAGGGGTTAGGGGTTAGGGGTTAGGGGTTAGGGGTTAGGGGTTTAGGGGTTAGGGGGGGGTTAGGGGCTAGGGGTTTAGGGTCTTAAGGTCCAGGCTGAAGAACCCTCAGATCCCCCTGAGGGCCGCGAACGCTATGCTGGATTTGGGTTAACTTGGAGCATACCTTGGGGACCAAATGAACCCTAAAATTTGGGTCATATACCCTATACTACTATAATTCCCATTAAGGTCTGTGAACCATAAACCCTTTCAGGGTTCACTTCGTCCACAAAGGTACGTACCTCCAAAGTGTCTTCAAGGTTCAGGTGACCCAAGTCCTGTCGAACACGGCTCGGCTTCCGTGATCTCAAAAAAATGAAACCCTAAACCTTAAACCCTAAACCCTGAACCCTAAACCTTTTGGGGGGCATGTACCCCATGCCAGCTCTTGTTCGACTCCGACCTTGCGCACGGACAGTTCTTTACGTTGCCAATGCATTTTTCGCTCCCTAAGTAATTATCCGCCCCCGTGCTGTACTGTACCCATCCACGAAACGGGCCATACTTTCAAGAGCCTTGCTGTTGGTTCGTAGGGAATGAGGTACCCTACATCCCCTATATATACCCTTTAAGGGATTACATAGGGTACCTCATTCCCTCATTCCCTCCAAGGGACCGGTAACATCCTGTAGTGGCACTTTCTCCTTCTGCCAAGCAGCGTCTTCGTCGAGGCCCGGTAGGGTGAGCAGACAGTACACCATCCGCTCCTGGTTCAGCTTTTAGGGTTTAGGGTTTAGGGTTTAGGGTTTAGGGTTTAGGGTTTAGGGTTTAGGGTTTAGGGTTTAGGGTTGAGGGTTCAGCTTCACGCCCCCTAGACCCTAAACCTAAAAACCCATGATGGAGCGCTTACTCGAGTACTCGTTTGGGGGTTTAGGGTTTAGGGTTTAGGGTTTAGGGTTTAGGGTTTAGGGTTTAGGGTTTAGGGTTTAGGGTTTAGGGTTTAGGGTTTAGGGGTGAGGGTTTAGGGTTTAGGGTCTGTGTGTTTTCTTGTTCTTTCCTTCTTAAAGCCGACACCTTCTTAAGGAAAGAGAACTACTGGATGCAGGAACAGTCTAGTACCCCTTAATTCTTGAAATCCCCTATTAAGGACTGTTAGTAGAAGGGGGAACATCCCAACCTACAACCCTAAACCCTAAACCCTAAACCCCAAACCCTAAACCCTAAACCCTAAACCCTAAACCCTAAACCCTAAACCCTAAACCCTAAACCCCATACAAGCCCCTATAACCCTAACAGCCCACGAAGCACCGGCCATGCCACAGGTCCTCTACCACCTCGGTCAGCTCATGGCTGGCCACAAAGTTCCTGAGGAGAGTTAGGGAAGAAGGTTTAGGGTTTAGGGTTTAGGGTTTAGGGTTTAGGGTTTAGGGTTTAGGGTTTAGGGTTTAGGGTTTAGGGTTTAGGGCTATAGGGCTATAGGGCTATAGGGCTTTAGGGTTGAGGGTCGGGGGGTTCTTTGGAGATCTCAGCTGCCCGGTTCTCAAACACCCTCTGCCTGTTGGCTTGAGGCACTTTCTTGGAGGTCTTACTTTGGGATGTCCCACCTTGTACTAAGAGCTACTTAATGGGGATCATAGTACCCCCCAATTATAAGCCCTATTAAGGGCTGTTAGTGCAAGGGGGAACATCCCAAGTCCTAATCTTTGCTGGCTCAAAGGTTCAAGCCTTCAGCTGGGCACACGGCCAGCTAATTTTGAGGCCCCTACACACACAACCCGAAACCCGAAAGTGCTGGGCATTGCGTTATCACGTCTTTCTGGGGCTTCGAGGTGAAGTAGCTGGTAGCATCAGCCTTTAGGGATCTACGGCGGACCTTAAGCCGTAAACCCTAAACCCTAAACCCTAAACCCGTTTTGGGAGGTTAGGTGTCCATGCTTAGGACTGGAAACTGAGAGATTGCTGCCAAAGCAGCACAATCAAGTCTCCCATCTTCGTTTTGATGGTGAGTGCGACACCATACCTCACAAGATCCATAGGGTCAAGTACAGACCCAAGGCCCATGTATCCGAGAGCAACGTAGGAGCCTTAATGATTAGAATAGGTTGTTTTTCTTCTTTTGGGGGGGGTATTATCGTACAACGATAAAGGGACCATATGGGAATATGATCAGCCATGATTCCGACCCCTACATTCGCTCCCGTGCGCACCCCGGGCCCCCAGACTCTGAGGCCGCTGCTTCTGGCAAATCCAATGGTGCTCCGCCTTGCACCGGCCTCCGCCGCCCTTCCGCTCGCGCGTGGTGGCGGAGGCGTCCTCCCAGAATGGCAGCTGCGGTCGTCACGGGAAGTACGGGAGGACTGGGGTGTCGCGATTATGAATGTGAGCTGGGATGTTCCCCCCTTGTACTGACAATCCTTCATAGGGAGCAGGGGGGGTGCTATAGTCCCACTTAAGGACTGTTAGTATAAGGGGAACATCCCAGAATGTGAGCCAGACCCGGAAAAAAAAAGAGAAACATACGGAAGAGGAGCCTTGTGCGCGGTGCCGGCAGCAGGAAGCCGGTTTGCGGCTTCTGTCTACACATCGTCTACTTGGAGGATCATGGGACTTAGCAAGTAGGGCTATGAGTACGCCAACTGGGGTTATAACGCATTGCAACTCTAGTTGCCCTAATTACAACCCTACTTCCTAAGTCCCCTGATCCTTTAAGTACTGAATCATTTTTGCGGGGCTTCCGAAAACAGGGGTGGCACAAATTCTTTGGGGTGCTCCGAGAGTAAGGGCTCGTTTTCTTGTGGGGTAGAATAGGGGGTTTCCTACTTGGGGAATATACCCATATGGTATGCGGGTGCAGTTCGAAACCAGGCATCCGGACAGCGGTGCCGCCAAGCGGCATAATAGCGGCAGTCATTCCACGACACGGTCTGGGGCAGCTGCACAACGAGCTCGTGCAGCGCTGCATGCTCAGCAGCTGTGCCGGAAAACCTCCGTTGCCACAGAGTCGCTTCTCACGAAAAGCGCCGCTGCTTACATTACCCGAAGCCCTGAATTCTAGGGTTTTTCAGGAAGGGAGGTTACAGACCCCCCTTGTCCCTTAAGGGCCCTACAACTGAAGTCAGCGCTTATGCAGAGCCCCTTGGAGCCTGGTCTGCTTCAGGCTGGCAAACGCGAGCATGCGCGCCAGCTCGCCTTGAAGCCACAGTGCGAGGACACACAAACTTTTGTTAGGGTTTAGGGTGTAGGGTTTAAGGTTTAGGGGTTAGGGATCCTTCTTGAAAGTTCATGGGTGGTACCCTACATAAGGATGTAACCATAGCTGCCGTACTTCTATCCCTGCTTAAAATGTACCCACGAACCCCCAAGTAGACCCTAACACCCTAAACTCCTGAACCCAAACCCCCTAAACCCAGAGTCCGCAAAACCCTGATACCCCCAAGAAAACCCTAAATCCTAAAACCCAAAAAGCTTGAAGCCTTAAAAAAAACCTAAAACTTTATCCCTCTTCAGACTCAACCCTAAACCCACTTCACCCTAAACCCTAAATCCTAAAGCCAACCCTCTTCCACCCTAAACCCTAAACCCCAAACCCTCTTCATCCTAAACCCTAAACCCCAAATCCTCTTCGTCCTAAACCCTATAAACCTTAGACCCTAAACCCTAAACCCTAATCACCCGCAACCCTAAACCCTCTACAAACAGTTCGCCTAACACCAAACTGTCTTCATCCTACACCTTAAACCCTAAACCCTCTTTGCCCTCAAGCCTAAACCCTAGAACTTCTTCCCTCTGAACCCTAAACCCTACATTTCTCTTCACTCTAACCCCTAAACTCCAAAACCAGCACCATCTTCACCCTGAATAAACCTAACCCCTAAGCCCGCTTGCCCCGGAACTTGGACCCCACGTTTTTTACCAGTTATCGCTGTACTTATAACCCACTTGTAAGCCCCTTAAGTGCCCTAATATGGCTACAAGTACAGTGACAATTGGTGAATAAGTACCATGAACCTCCAAGTACCCAAAGCCTCTAAGACCCTAAACCCTAAACCCTAAACCCTAAACCCTAAACCCTAAACCCTAAACCCCCCCCCCCCCCCACCCAAAGTCTCTAAGGGCCGGGCTGTTGAGCTGCACGAAGCGGCGTGAGATGCTTGTGGGGCCTGCATCGCCTTGTCGCGTCTGTAGGTTGACGTTCTGCATCACCTCTCTTGGGGGTGAAGAGGGTTTAGGGTTTAGGGTCCCTGAGCCCTAAACCCTAAACCCCAAGCCCTAAACCCTAAACCCCAAACCCTAAACCCTAAACCCTAAACCCTAAACCCCAAACGGGTTTAGGGAACTTGGGGTTGAGGGTTTAGGGCCTTGGGTTGAGGGAACCTGGGGTTGAATTCTTCCGGTGTGAGGGGGGAACTTGCGGGGTGTTTAGGGTTTGGCATTGGGGTTTCATTGGTTCTGGTTTAGGGTTTAGGGATTAGCGGGGAAAGTTTAGGGTGTAGGGTTCAGGGTTTGGGGTGTAGGGTTTAGGGTTTAGGGTTTAGGGTTTAGGGTTTAGGGTTTAGGGTTTAGGGTTTCGGGACCTCACGGAATCTAGGAGTGGAGGAGGGAGGGGGGTTTGGGCTTAGGGCCTCGGGCTTAGGGCTCCTTCCTCTTGGCCCATGGAAAGAGCTCGGGGTTAGGGTTCAGGGTTTAGGGTTTAGGGTTTATGGGGTTTAGGGTTTAGGGTTAGGGATTAGGGTTTAGGGTTTAGGGTTTAGGGTTTAGGGTTTAGGGTTTTAGGGTTTTAGGGTTTTAGGGTTGCAAGCCGTCTAGGGGCTTGGGTTTTTCGGGCTTAAGGTCGGACCATGGGAGTTGAACATTCTTCGACAACAACCCTTCAAATAGAAAGGCACGGGGACTGAGGCTACCGAGGGCCAAGACCTTCTAAACATCTAGAGCCTCAAGCCCTTGTCGAAATCACCAAGGTGCCCCCCGCACCCCCCGAAACCGCCGCCAGAACCTTCGGCAAGCTGGGTCGCTGGAATCTGGTCCATTCTGGCCCACTGCAAAAGGTTGGCTGCAAGCCAACTCGTCAAGAAACCCGGATCGGAGTCAATTCCTTTGAGTCTCGGGCTCGGGTTCGGCTTAGGGGTTTAGGGTTTAGGGTTTAGGGTTTAGGGTTTAGGGTTTAGGGTTTAGGGTTTAGGGTTTAGGGTTTAGGGTTTAGGGTTTAGGGTTTAGGGTTTAGGGTTTCATTGGGGCTGAGGGGCTTCCAGGGTTTTGGGGTTCAGGGTCCGGCCACGTTTGGCTTAGGGCCGTGGCCCTTGGGGCTTTAGGGTTTGGCGGGTTTAGGGTTCCCTGGGTCTTGAAACCCAGGAGTCGCCATCTCGCCCTAAACCCTAAACCCTAAACCCTAAAACCCCCAACACACAGCCCAAGGCCACCGAGCTCCTCAGCCCTCTCTTGTTGCACTTTTTCCCTGCACGTCCCATGAACTGAACCGGCCAACTCCCCAACTACCCATGAACCCTCCCTTCCCCCTCCCTCCCTCCCTCCCTCCCTCTCTCTCTCTCTCTCTCTGCCTCTCTCTCTCTCTCTCTCTCCCTGCCCTCCTCGCTTTCTCACTCACGCTCTCGCTCTCTCGCTCTCTCACTCTCTCACACTCTCACTCTCTCACTCTCTCTCCCTCTCGCTCTCTCTTTTTCTGTTATGTTCTTTGTCTTCAGCTTTGCTAGGGTAGGTGGAGTATGCTGCAAAGTCGTCCCTGCCTGCTGGTAGTGTCGCTACGGGGCAGGGTTTGGGACGTACTGCGGGCATTTTAATGCGAGTACGGAGATGTCACAGTACAGCCAACTGGGCCGGACTCTTCATCGGGTCTGTCTCCCTTTCCGCGCTAGGTACTCGACAGAGTGCTGCGATTTCAAAGTCAAAAAGTCTCTCTTTTTCTTTCTGTTGGGGCCAGCAGCGGCCGAGGTAGGAGCCAAGGGAGGAGTGATGAAGAAGGAGCTTGCCTGGGTGGGGTTGGGAGCTCGGGTCTCAGGAAGTTTCGGGGATTCGGGCTTCGGGCTGGCACAAGGTAGAACGAACCTTCCTAAAGAAGCTTGGAACCACAGCCGCCACGGCACAGAAACTAGCACGCACATCGTCCGAAGACTTAGAGCTCAGAGTTTAGGGCTTAGGTTTGCCTGCGGGTCCTCCACCCCCCCCCCCAACCCTAACAAAAACATAAACCCACCCACTCCTCCATGGGCTTGCTTTTGAGGGCTTTGAGCCTGGAAAAAACCTTATGCCTCCAGTGGCGTGCACACTTTGACTGATAGCCTTCTAGAGGCTATCGGTGTAGTGCTGAGGGTTTTTTTGGGTTTAAGATTCAAAGTTTAGGTATAGGGTTTAGGGTTTAGGGTTTAGGGTTTAGGGTTTGGTGTTTGGTGTTTGGTGTTTAGGGTTTAGGGTTTAGGGTTTAGGGTTTAGGGTTTAGGGTTTAGGGTTTAGGGTTTAGGGTTTAGGGTTTAGGGTTTAGGGTGTACAGGGGAAGGCATCCGACCAAGACATTATCTCCTTTCTGCCTGTTTTAAAGGGGGTCTCGCCTCGATCCGTCCTAAACCGCCAACCCTAAACTAGAATACTAGAACCCTGAACCCTGCGACGGCGAGGCAGATGGACTTGTTCAGGGCTTTAGGGTTTAGGGTTCAGGGTTCCGGGTTCAGGGTTTAGGGCTTAGGGTTTAGGGTTTAGGGTGTAGTTGCAAAAACTCAGCCAAGATGCTGCCGGCGCAAGCTGGACCGCCACAAACCTCGTGTCCCAGCATGACCCAAGCCACTAAGAAGGCCCAACCCTAAACCTTCCTTCTAGGGTTACTATGGGAGGGGGGTTGCAATGGTGAAATGTAACCTAAGGTTCCCGAATAGCCCGAAACCCTACACCCTAAACCCTAAACCCTAAACCCTAAACCCTAAACCCTAAACCCTAAACCCTAAACCCTAAACCCCACCACTCCCAAAGCTTCCTAGGCTTCCCCCTCAGGTCCCTTAAGAACCCTCGAACTCCAGAGAGTCTGCAATTTCTGTGCGGTCAGGCAAGAAAGGCATGCTGAGCTGACCCCTGAGCCCGAAACCGTAAACCCGAAACCCTAAACCCGAAACCCTAAACCCTAAACCCTAAACCCGAAACCCTAAACCCTAAACCCGAAACCCTAAACCCTAAACCCCAGGGCCCGGGCTAGTTGGTTGAGTGAGCGGTGACAGCATCGGACAGCAAAGATGTTCTTCAGGCTCAAGGAGCAAAGGGCCTCAAGAGCACACCGATTTTGTTTAGGGTTTAGGGATTAGGGTTTAGGGTTTGGGGTTTAGGGTTTAGGGTTTAGGGTTTGGGGCGACCGTCCTGCGCTGAAAGCTGCTCCTGAAAAAGCCTCAACTTCCATAAACCCTAAACCCTAAACCCTAAACCCTAAACCCTAAACCAAAGCACAACACCTCCAAGCCCCCAAGCTTAAAAACCGGAAAACCGTCCAAAAACCCCTAAACCCTAAACCCTAGGGATACACCTTCAAACCCTAAACCCTAAACCCTAAACCCCTAACCCCTAATCCCTAAACCCCTAAACCCCTAAACCCTAGGGATATACCCGGCTCAGCCCCGGGCATGCGCGATGTGAGGCTCCCCGAGAAGGAGCAGGCTGAGATTTTCTTCCATGGGGTCAGCGGAACAGTTCGGACCCCAGGACTGTACAGCCCCTTGCAGCCTGAAAGCAAAATGCTGCCGGAGATTCAGGGTGTAGGGGTCTTTAGGGTTTAGGGTTTAGGGTTTAGGGTTTAGGGTTTAGGGTTTAGGGTCTGTAGGGCTTCGGGTTTAGGGCATGCTTACGGACTGGGGTTTCGCGCCCACAATGTGGGCGATCAGCTTTGCTCGCGACCGGCGGTCCTGCGACCGACGGTCAACCCTACGGCAAGCAAAACGAACACAAAGCCCTCAGTTCAACCATGATTACCAACGGGTGTTGAAAGGATGTATAGGACGTCCCTTGCGGCAATCGGTAGTATAGGCACTTTTGGGGTTGCAAAGAAGGCCACCAAAAAGTGTGACAGTGACACCATTTTTTCTAAGCGTGTACATGTTGAAAATGGCATGAACCAAAATTTGTCCTGAGATCGCAGTTTGGCCGATTAGCAAGGACTGTGTACATGCATGCCCCCAGGAAGAGACGTATAACAACTCATGATACCTGCATGTACAGTTGCACCAGACTACTTGAATCATATCGTGTGTGTATATATATATATATATCATGTGTGTATACAATACATCCAGCACGTATGGGTCTTGCATGTATATTTTTCTGCTATATATAATGATACCATGCATGTCCTCTTTATACTTGTATCTTTCCATCATAAGCACGCAATGCAAGAGTGAAAATGCAAGCGCGTTTTACTCTTGCAGGTCACTGTCAGTCCATCTAAGGCTGGCCATCAGGCAGTAGTGCTGCAAGGTTCGCAGAGACGCAGTTCTCGGGTGCGTATGCTCCACGATCTTCCTCAGTCATGAAAGCAAAAAAAAGTATATAGACGCTTAAAGATGCCACTCAACATGATATATTGCATGCATGACACTTAAGTCTGGAAATCATGTCCTCGTCCAGGTAGCACGCGTAATGGCGAGGATTTCCATACCGCGGCATTGTGTCCAATATCCTTAGCAGGACTAATAAGCTTCCATGCCTGTCCTTCCAGCCCTATATAGGCTATTATATTGGTTATAATTATACTCCAAGTGACATGTGTTCCATTTGGTGCATCTTCGGTCGCAAGGCGTAGCGCAGATAGAGCTTGCTGATGGCCCATTTAGCCATGAAGTCGTACGCTGCACGGTACTGGAGGTAGGCCCGTTGGGCCACACATTCCGGATGCTGTTCCAGGTCCTCCCCAGGCCAATTAAAGTATCGCCTGAAAGGTCTCGATCTGTTATACGGTTATAACGTACAAGTGACAACAGAAAAAAATGCATTCGAGGTGCCCGTTTTCTGCGAGTACAGTCAAGATCGATGCCAGGGCAGCGAAGAGTTTTTCACGCACTGCTTCCACTTCGTCATGAGGCGCATGTGCACAACGGTCCCGGGCTTTGTGCAGCATCCAGTAGACAAGAAACCTGCTGGCAGCAGCCTTCAAGATCTTTTGGCTCACATGCGTGTAAGCATTAGCGTCGTGCAAGATTTTGGAGGTGAACAACTTGTGGTGGGCCCGCAAGCTTCCATGGAGTCCTCGTCAGGCCAAGAGAATTACAACAAATATTACAATACATATAAGTGATGTCAAGACCATACATGGACACCGCATGCATTATAAATGCACGATTGGAGGCTTTTGGGGATTCTGGTGTCCTTCTTCATGGCACCAGGTGAAATATTCATTGCTAAGAGCGAGGAGCGCTGTGTCTCTCGCACGAGCCCCATCGCTCCAGTCAAGCAAGCAGCTACAAATGCAGTCCGGAGAGATTTGAAGGTCCAACACGTGGAGGATGTCTGGGAAGATCCCTGACGTCACAGAGGCTGGATGGATCAGCGGTGTAAACACATGCATTTAATGCATGCATGCATGCACGCCTGAAATGTACCATGATCATGCATTGCATGCACATGCTATATATACTTGCAAGACACTTGTTGGGCAAAACCCAGCCATGTTAGTGAGCACGTTCTCGCCGTGGACTTGCACCCACTCTTCTCTTGTAGTGATGCACCTGCGTGCCCCAGCATATATCTTTATATATGTCTTTTTTATTTATACGACGACACATTTTCTATGTGAGTGTTGCTTGCATGTCCGAGCCAGTGGACGTTGATCTATGAGCAGCATTGGGTCCGAACTCCGTATAGAGGAACTCCTCACTGGATCCCTCTGTGACGAACTGGGTGGCCTGCGTCAGGCGATATATTGTATAGACATTAATTAGGGTTTAGGGTTTAGGGTTTAGGGTTTAGGGTTTAGGGCTTAGGGTAACGTGCACAGAAACACATCTGGCCTGACAATAGTGGCAGCAGAACTCCCTTTTCGAGTGCCATGATCCTTTCATTAGCTTCTCAGGTTGAAGGCAAGACATGTTACATTATCTACAGGATGTGAGGGACATGCATGATGTAGTCAGGTCACTCTTGAACTTGAATATTTTGTGAAGGAAGTCCTGGTCGCCTTGGAAGCCCGCCAACGCGGCTTTCCACCCATTGGCAAGTTCTTGGCCCGCCATAGATGCACGTTGAGGGTGGTACTGCTCTGAGAAGGGTGTTCCGAAGGCGTCACAGCGCGGCCATTTTCCTTCTCCTTGCATGCATGCGTGCACAATGAAATTCATTGGTGGATATAATATATATATGTAGAATAATATATTAGTATTATCATTATATACATATTTTCTCAAAGTCGCCTAAGCAATGGAAGGACCATGCAATGATCTGCAGGAGCTTTTCTCGCGTTGCCTGCAGGTACATGCATCCATCCGATCAGTGGCCGAACATTCTGCATGCACAGAACTTTCACGCGCCTCGTCAGTCATAGTAGTAAATCGACAAGCGATCCTGAATTTTTGTGTTTGGGGTTTCCGGCGCCGGGTTTAGGGATTAGGGTCGAGGGTGTATATATCTATAGGCTAGTAGCGTGCGCAGGCTAGGGGCGGAATTCTGGTATCCAGGGTTGAGCTGCGCTGGGTGGCCACCGCAACCAGGCTTAACAGCTCAAAGTTCTGAGTGCCTGAGGGCGTGCGTGTTATAATGCGTCGACTATAGAATTTGAAAAGCATATAAGGCCGCAGCTGAACGCCTCCGCTCCATCGCCATAGAGGCGCCAGGGGACGACTTGCGCAAAGTTCACCTGAACAGTCACACGCAGGCCATATAGAAATATATTTTGTTAAAATATTTTGGAAAATATATATATATATATATATATATCCATTACATATATATAGAAGATCACATATATATGTCAAATATATATGTCTAGATCGGTCTCTTTCTCTCGCTCCTGCTCTCTCGCACGATTGTTGTCACTCTCGCTTTGCAAGTTGATCTCTCTCTCTCTCTCTCTCTCTCTCTCTCTCTATCTCTCTTCTCTCTCTGTCTCGATCTCTCTCTCTCTCTCTTTCTCTCTCTCGACTCTCTCTCTTTCTGTCTCTCTCTCTCTCTCTCTCTCTCTCTCTCTCTCTCTCTCTCTCACTCTCACTCTCTTTCTCTGTGTCTCTCTGATCTGTGCCTCATTCCCCCAATCACGCACAAGGTCATCAGCCAAGGAAGCGTGCACGTTCCAAAACTGCTTCAGATCCTGAAATGCTCAAGCCTACAAACATGTAGATTGCCAAACACAAGGATTTCAACTAATTAAGATTCATCTTCTTTGATCATCTCTTCTGTTGCTGACCACGTTGCATCAGGAGTGCCAGTCAATATGGAATGGAAAATCTGACCATTCTTGTAGTGGTACAGCGAGGAGAAGATTTCATGAGGTAGTAAAACTCCAACTCGAACTTTTTCCATCCGGGAGCCTGGAAGAAGTGGGACCTCAAGCGTGCGTGAGAAGCAGCATGCACGACATGTACTTTTTGGGAAGTGCTTGCAGTGTATATATATAGGCCCGTGGCTCGATCACACTCCATCCTTGGTCTCGACTGTGCATGTGTCTTTCTGCTATGTATCTATATAGTACTTGTCAGATACACGCAGCCCAGGAACTCGAATACTTCCGGCAGACACTGCCGACATTCCAGTTGGCTGGCCCATTTATGGAAAGCTCGCTCCAGACCCCACCCACCAGAGCTGTCGAAGGCGTCACCCAAATTCAGCACTTGCTGCCTGCGCAAGACATGATAGATCGATTTATATATATGTATATATCTAGCTACATGAAAAATGTCCTATCAACGATAATATATACTCCTGAATGCATGCGTGGGGACGGAATCAAGTAGTGCGGAAGCTCCATAATTGCTGCCACGTTCTCACGCAATCGTTTCATTGAGCCCTGCAGCAGCTCAATTTAAACTGCTCTCGCACATGCGTTCTAAGACTGCCATACAAGCATGCACACCCTCCTCGCCCTTCATCACCATGTCCAGAAAACTCTTCACCATCATCTGCACCCCATGATGTTTACGGCGTTTGGGATCTGGTTGCTCACCTGCGAGGGAACACATATGCATGCGTGAATGCATGCACGTGCCTCGGATGCCAAATAGCAAGATGCGACACACTTTTCTCCATGTGCACGTTGAGAGAACGTCGTGGTCCATGGATTCAGATCCCCAAGAAGAGCGAGTGCTGGGCGCACTCTTAAAATCGATCTGCTGAAGGTGCATAACAACAGAAATGCATGATGTATAATATATATATATATGTGTATCATGTGTCATTTATAACATGCTGATATACGTGCGTGTGATATTTCAGCTCTCAGCCGGCTGACCCGTTTTCAGGTACTCATCCCACTCCTCTCTCGACCAGGTCCGGCTAGCATTCGCCTCCTCATCCTCTTTGGCCACCTTTGCCTTCCTCTTCTCACCTCGTGCGTGCACGCACATGCAATTTCAAAGGTAGACCCGCCCAGTATTACATCATGCATGCCTTAGGTCCCAGCGTGCTTTGTGTGCCCGCACCATGCCGTTCATGCTCTCGAGCTCGTCCTCGTACGCCTATATAGGGATCGAAGTAA